TGTTTACATGTCATACTAGCTCCATTTTGTTTATCTTTAGTAGTATATTTATTTTGAAACCTACGATTGTGTTCATCATCTTCCATAGAAAGCATCGAATAATGTTTAAACCTTTGCTTTTCTTCATGGTTATATCTGTCGCCAGAATGGAGCCGACCTCCTTTTAGGTTATCTAGTTTTCGTGAGGTAACCATAGCCTTAAAAAATTTTTGCGTATTACTTATTGCTACATAATCTAGACCATCTCTGCCATGTTTTCCAGCCTCGCCTGGTTCACCTGGCTTACCATTGTCACTTTTTCTGTTTCTTCCTACACTTTTCTTTTGAGTTATGAGAGAAACATTATCCAAAGGAACAAGCTTCACTAGTCCAGAATCGCCTTCATCTCCACAATAGCCCCCTGAACCTGCATCTCCTCCCGAACCACCAGCTGTACCATCAGTACCGATACGACGATAACGAAATCCCCAAGAACCTCCATAAAAGGCCCACCAGCGTTCTAACTTTTCTCTCATAGCATGTTTATCAGCATCTCTCCCATCGACACCTGTAATGCCAGATGCTCCGTTTCCTCCGTTTTGTCCTCTTCCTCCTTTCCCACCATAAGCTGACACTTCAATTGGAGGCAATTCATTCGCAACTACATAAACATGTCCTGCACTTTTCCCATGTTTTCCGTCAGATCCATCTTCTCTTTTATTTCCTTTTCCACTCCGATCTGTCCCGTACCCATTTTTAGCTGGATTATTTNAGCTTCGCATCAGCATTGGTTAGCCCCGAGTTTAAACCAACTTTTTAGAAAAGATGGCTACTTTGGAAGGTTTGCCTCCTCACAAAGTTCATACACTTCCAAATATCCTTTGCATCTTCTCCATCTGTCGTAATATGTAACTTATTTTTATTCCTAACTAATTTTTGATGGGGACTAACTAAACAATATTTACTCCCGAATATTCTTTACTTGATAAATCAACATCAAGATAAAGTTTATCAGAATTAATAATTCTTATTTCATTATTAGGACAAAAACAATCGGGATAATTAGATTTAATAACATATAAAATATTGCTAAGAATTCCTGAGTTGCTTTTTATTTGAAAAATAGCATATTCCTACGGTTT